TACCAGCAAAAGGAATAACTTATATGTCATTGGAATTCCAGCACAATATACATTCGTTTCCAGTGCACATGGAACATTTTTCATGATAGACCATATGTTAGGCCATAAAGCAACCATTAATAAATTTAAAAACATTGAAAAACTTGAGAGCATCTTCTCGGATCATAATGCTATCAAATTAGAAATCAACAATAGGAAGATCAACAGAAAGAGTAAATACATGGAAACTGAACAACATCCTTCTTAAGAAAGTATTTTGCTTATAATTTTTGTTACGGGATCTTTTTATTAGGATGGTAGTAATTGTGATCCACCTTACTTGGACCTATGCATTTTTATTTTCCCTTTGCTTTTTAATTTAATTTACTATATTGTATATATGTATTTCTGCTACCTTATATCCTTTTTGGAACAAGTTGACATGCAAATAAAGTAAACGTTTCTAAAAACCTATAAGTAGGTTTTTAAAAACCTATTTTTATTTTTATTTAAGACCTATTTATGGGTCCTATAAACCTATTATATACAATTATACCAAAGGGTATAATTTCTTGCTTAAAGTAGTGATAAAGTAAGGAATGATTTATTATGTAATTTTTCTGAGATAGGATCATGGCATTTTAAAAAACCTGTACAACCCCCCCCCATATATACATTTCTGCTTCTTGATGATAGCACATTTTAAGATATACCATTTGATAAAAAATGAAAGCTTAGATATAAATTAGATTAAAAAATCAGAGTACATGTTTGGTGTGGTCTTTGGAGTGTTCTGTTAAGAAAGACCTGTTGAAGAATGTGATGTAGTGGGAATAGTACCAAGAGTAGGAGTCATGCTAGGATCTAGGGTTTCCTTTACCAGTGTGCCCTCTTAGTTACTTTATCTCTTTTAGTTTTCAGTAGCTTGTATGTGGATTGGAGCTACATGCTTCTAGCCTAGGTAGGGATTTGGATCACATTGTACATTTGTTGGTTTCTTTCAGCTCTCAGATTTGTGATTTTTGTGGCTGGTCCATGGGTCATGACAAGTAAAAGGTTAACTTGAGGGAGAGTATTAACAGACTTAAATAGGGTCTTCCCAGGGGAGGAAGCCCTGCGGTCAGATTGAAACCCCAGTGAGTGTTGGCAGTGTGACAGGACAGTAATCAGAGCTGCCTTGGAGCTTTCCTTCTTACCCTTAGAGACCTCAGAAATGTTCAAAATAAAGGTAATGAGAAGGAGGTTTTAATAAGATGTTTTGCTTTGCTCAAACAGTGCATCTGTTCTCTTTATTAAGGTGAACTTTATTTACGGGATTGATTCTGTTTTTAAAAGCACCATTTGAAATTAAGAGAGTTATAAGCCCATGTATATACATTACTTTGTAGAATATTGACTCTATGTAAGGCATATATGGGTGTGTGTGTGTGTGTGTGTATATATGTGTATATATATATATATAAATAGAATGACAATAAGTCAAAGTCTTCATATCAGTAATAAAATTAGAATTATGCCCTACACAAAAAAGTTTCAGTAGCTTACCTTGACACTCTATATAAGACTCTCTGTATAAGCTCTGGTGGTGTAGTTCCTAAGGCATTTGATTGCTGTCCAGAAAGCTGGTGGTTCAAACCCACCAGCCACTCCTTGGAAGGAAGAGTGGGCAATCTACTTCTGTAGAAATACCACCTCAGAAACCTAAGGAGGGGTTGCTATGAATTGAATCAACTTGACGGCAGTGAGTGTAGTTTTTTATATATATGTATATATGTGTGTTATATGTATGTATGTATATATGTGTGTGTGTGTGTGTGTGTATGTATGGTTTATGCCATAAGAAGAACATGACATTTTTATGTAGCTATTAAGTCATTTTAATACAGTTTTAAAGTAAAAGTTGCTAAAAATATTTTGATCCACCCATTCAATAAAATTTATATTTAAGAGTCATACCATTTATTTTAAAGAACATTTCTTTTTATCATTGTGCATTTAATTCAATATGCCATCCCCTTTTTTGAAATTAATCTTTTTGGATTTTTATATTCATCAGTTCCATAGTACCAAAATACTTTATTAGCCACACTGATTTATAATTCATAACAATGAATACTAGCCAAAAGTGTGGTTGGCAGACCATGACCAGAAACTTGTTAGAAATGCAAAATCCAAGACCCCACCTCAGACTTACTAAATTTAAAACTACATTTTAACAAGATCCCAAGGTAGGTATTTCTTATGCACATTAAAGTTTGGGAAGCAGTGATTTAGTACAACTTACTAATAACTAGGCAACCTGCTTGAAAATATTATTTTTTTATAACATTTAACCAGTGAGAATTGTCATAGTTTGATTTCAGTGAAACCAGACTCACTGCTGTCAAGTTGATTCCGACTCATAGCAACCCTGTAGGGCAGAATAGAACTACTCCATAGCGTTTTCAAGGCTATAAATCTTTATGGAAGCAGACTGCCTTGTCCTTTTCCTGGTGAGTGGCTCACAACTGTCTTATCTGTTTCTTTAAATGAAGTATTATATGTTCATTTCATGGCTAATTGGAATTGAAAGATCTTAAATTTTCATTGTATGTTACTTGTTTGTTGTTGTTATGTGCCATCGAGTCCAACCTGACTCATAGCGACCCCTCCTTGGGTTTCCGAGGCAGTATCACTACGGAAGTAGATTGCCCACCCTTCCTTCTGAGTAGTGGCTGGTGGGTTTGAACCGCCAGCCTTCTGGTTAGCAGTCAGGTGCCTTAGGCACTATGCTACCAGAGCTCCCACATGTTACTTGTACGATATATGTTTTCCTTGTCCCTATAGGTTTCTACAAACTGCGTATAAAATGTACCTTAGTTTTCTGCATAGTGAGACATCTAAGATGCAAGTGAAAATTCCTCTGAGCTGTGCTGTTTGTCCAACTGAGAAATCTGTGCTAAGTAAATGAGCTAGTACACCAAGTTCAATGAAAGAGAATGCAAGTAACTCATGTAAATTTTGGAGCAAATTTTGGCATGCTTGTTTTATAATAAATCATACTGCAGTAAGTTGTTGTTGTTATGTGCCGTCGAGTTGGACCTGACTCATAGCGACCTCTCCTTGGGTTGCCGAGGCAGTATCACTACGGAAGTAGATTGCCCAACCTTCCTTCCAAGGAGTGGCTGGTGGATTTGAACTGCCAGCCTTCTGGTTAGCAGTCAAGTCCCTTAGGCACTATGCTACCAGATCTCCTACAGGAAGTTGAGTTCTCACCAAATACTTAGAATAATATGCTCTGGGGCTAAAATTGGTCTAAGGCTTTATAGGTATAATAGAAATTCTAAGGCTTTATAGGTATAGTAAAACTCCTGAAACCCAGAACCTGCAGGAACCTGCCACAGAAGGAAAACTCAAGTATTTTCCACTAATAGAGAGCAGTAGAAAAGAGGTAAGACTGCACCCTGTCAAAGTCAGAAAACTTGTGAGACCTAGAACAACCAAGGCAATCCTGTTGAGTTCCAGCTTTCACAGGTTTCACTGCATAATAGAACATTATCCTGGTCCTAGAGGCATTTACATGGTGATCTAGTCATTCTACTTCTTGACCATCAGAATTCCTTTCATAACTCCACATTTGGCAAATGGGAATGTATACTGTCTAATAAATACCATTTGTACTATCCTATTACATTATTATGTTCTGTTTTCTGTTCTAAAATTGCATAATTTGGGATTACTTTTATAAATACTCCTTTTCTCTACCGTATCAGTTCTGTGAGTTTAAAATTGTATAGAGACTTCTAATAAGTAATTGTTAATAGTAATTATTTATAGCTGTGATTTTTTCGTTCTTGTTCTAGTAAGTTGAACCATACTGCCATTTTTGTACTCAAAAAGCTGTTGCATATTAGCAATTTCATATGGTTCAACCTAATAAAGGTCATTTGAGGGATTCTCTGCCCCCATTTCAGTTAGTAGTCACCAGGAATGATCTTTTCGTTAAGTCACTTTTAGTTTTTTGTTAGGTTGGTTTATTTTCTAATAAAAGAAAGGATGCCTTTTAGGAAAACAGTGCCATTACATAGAAATTAATGACTGTAACAGACATGAAGCTGATAAAAATTAATGGTGAATAGTTTTGTAAGTATGATATGCTTTTTAAAATTATCACTCAGTATAAACATTGCAATAAGACTTAACAGTAAGCTTCTCTTCTGTATAAAATATAATTTTATTTCAGAAATCTTGTATTTCTTTTTCACTATATATTTTTTAAATATGGGCTTAAATTATTTTGGAAAAAAGTTAACTATGTTGAACTAATTGGAAAAACTTAGTATAACTTTATAAGAACCAAGATGTAGTTACAATATTTTTGTTATTGCTGACACTTCACTGTTTAAAACTTTAGTAAACTAAGCTAATTTGGTTGTTAATAACTAAGAACTAGTAATTTTAGCCAACTGTTAACATTACTAGGTTAAATAATGCTATTTATGGAGAGGAGATGGTTTTATCAAGTCTGTTAAACTCACATTAAGAATGTGTACTTAATTTCATTTTGTCTTGGAGTATGTTACATACAGATTAATTAAGGCCTTCTTTTTTAGCAATCCCAGCAACAATAATTAAGGTTTGTTGTTCTTCTGGGGTATATTTACTCACCTACTAAGAGACTGCCCTATGAAGCATTTCTTAAAGGTAATTCAGTAGCCTGTGAAACCTAGGGTGAATTTCCAGATCTTTGTCATTCTGGGCTGAAAGCTAATCAGGTTAAGGAAGTACCTGGATAAGAAACTGAGAGGCTGGGATGTGGGATGAAACCACCACTGTGGACATTTCCGTTTCTTTTATAGTAAGCCTGAAGTTCATGCATCATAACAAATACCTACTTAAATATAAAACAGCTTTCCTTTTTGCTATCACAAAGAAAAAATACTATTTGTGAATTCAGTGTGTGTTAAAACAACTTCTGTTTACCACATTTTGGGTGTTTTATATTATGTGTTATCAAGCTGTGTTTTTGTGTTTTATTTTAGCTTATTTGCACTAATCTTGATGAACTCAGGGAATTAATCACAAAAATCGAGAATGAACTCAAAGATCTGGAAAACAATAGAAAAAAATCGGTAGGTGTTGATCCAAAAGTTCTATCTCTTATTGTCAGCATTAAAATTTATTCCTGCTTTTTTCTAAAGCTTTTTAAAAGATTTTATTCTCCTGAATGAACATGAAAATTTGCAATGAAAAGTAGAAATTTTGTCTCTTTTATTTCTCCTGTGTGGTTTAGTTTTCATTTTTAATAAACAAAAATGGAGCCAGGGGCAAATAAATTGATTAATTTTGTTTGCCTGGTTTTATCAGATGTAGTGTTAAATATTTCCCAATATACTGGTTAGTTGTTTTCTGACTGGTAGTTTTGGGTAATGCTTACCTTGCAGATATTCTTAATTAATGATTATATGCTTTTAATGAAAGTTCATTGCTTATTAACTTAAAAACTTAATTAGATGTGACATAATAACTTAAGAGATGTAAGTTGTTTAATCTTGCCCCATGTATTTTTGATATATACTTAGCAATAAGATTTTTTTAAGAACCCTTGTCAGCTGAAAAGTTTTTTTAAAAAAAACTTTTACTATATATTCTGAATTTATAATTAATCTTCCACCTTTATTTTCTAATTTTTTTATTCTTGTGACTAGAATATAAGGGGATATCTATTCTCTCTGCACTTGGTAAAACACTCAATTATGTTATTCAGTCACTAATATCCATTTAACTGTCATTTATATCTTGGTTGTAGCATAGATTTGAAACACAATTACACACCAATAAATAAATGGGGAAGACTTTGAGCACTGAAGAAAATTGATAATCATCATAAAATCCCTTGGTTTTATGCCTGAGGGTGTCATGAAGCCAATTTTAGGTCTTTGTTTAGAGTCTCCTAATTTAGAATCATGTTTAAAATAAGGTTAGTGATTCACCAAGCCTGGGAACAGATTTATAGTAACCATTTTATAAGCTGTTAGGAAATACATTTGGTAGCATTCTGAAGGGAGGACAGTGAAGTACTCTAAAAGCACAGCCTTCTAAGGTATTTAATACTGGGGATAAGAGAGCTTTAAGCCTTTCAGGAAGTGTCTCATGTAATGCCCCTGAGTATTGTTGTGTCACTGTAGGCTAAGAAATGATGTTCATAATGAAGGCCAACATTATCAGGAAAATTTTGTTCAATACATAGTCTGAGAATGCAGAAGACTGTATAGGTAATTTTAGAAATAATTAACATTAAAAACACTCTGAAACTTTTGTTCTCATATACATACTTCAGCTATATGGGAAATATCTTGATGTGAAATACACTAAGTACTATATTACATTTACCTGTGTGATACATACTTCAAACAACATTTATATTAGAATATTTTCTCCTCAGCCAAAAGTTGTCTTAAAATGTATTTTATGTTATATAGTCTCATAAAGGACTGATCCTATTCTTTAATAGGAAAGAATAGTCAGTCTTTTAATTGGGGTGCTATTTATACTTTGTTGCAGAAGCTGTTTTTAGTTCTCATTTCATGACTCTAAATAGAATTCTGTTAAATAAACATAATTAATTGCTTTTTATGCTGCAATTAAACATAATTTATGCATCTTAATTTGTTCCCATATTCTAAATTAGAGTTTTTTGTTTGCTGTTAATGCATAGTTTTAAGCATAATTGATTGAAGTTGTTAGTTGTGGCATGTGTTCTTACAGGAAAAGACTGATGGAAACGTGGGGTTTTCTATACAGCCATCCACTTCACTTCCACTGGTGATGTTAGATTTAAGTGTTGCCTTCCCTTACCCCTTAACTCTGTGAAATTTCTGAATTTCTCATAAAGTGAATTAATTGGTCATTAGAATAAATAGGGAAATGAGAATGGCCCTTGAGTCATGAGAATAGAACAGGAAGATGTAGAAGAGAAGTAGGAGAAGCTGTAAACTACAAATACTTGGCCTATAACCCATGAGGACATGTTGAGCCAGAATATGTTAGATTATATATGAGGTTTAATTGAGTAGCTTTTGTTTCCAAACTTTTACAAACATAGCCACTGACAGGACATACTAATTTTAAAATATGCTTTCTCATCTTCAAAAAACTAGAAATTTTCAGTGCTGTACTTAGTGGGTATAATCTTATTGGGAATACCAGTGGGCTATTTTCCTTTCATTTAAACTGCCTAAAAGGTTATTCTCATGAACAGATTAGCTCAACCAATGAGATAGGCACATAGCATAAAGGACATAGACAGTGTGTATCTCAGGATCGTTCCTTATTTTTAACAAAAGCTAATATTGAATGTCATAGATATTAGTTATAGGAATTTATTAAATATTTGTGTTTCTATTTTATAGTTTTGTTTTTTTTTATATATCATTTGGGAATAAGGTTTTCCGTTTAACTGAATTTTCTAGATAACTAAGACTGAAACTTTTAATATTAAAACCCTTGTTTTAGTTATTTAATGGACAACTTCCCTGCCTCTGTCCTATACTGAATACAATTAATGATTCAAGGATCATCAAGACCCTAAAAATCTATCAGTATCTGTCTAAGTCAGTAGATCTATTTAAACATTCACCAAAAGGCCTCATGCTATTTACTTTAAAGATTTTTTTTTTTTTTTTTTGCTTTGGTTCTGTCTGTTCTTTCATTGTCCAGAAGTTTGTCAGCTGCCATTTCTTATATGTGTCCATACACTTGTCCTACTGGTATGTTGTACATTAAGAAAATAAGTAGCCATACTTACTAGAATTGTACCATACTTTTTAGGACCTCAGGGACTTTATTAATAATGAAAAGTATGACCTCCGTACAGGTATTTTGACTGATTTCCATGCCTTGTGGGCTTCCTTCCCTATGGTCAGATAAATGAAATATTAATACTCATCTTCATAAGAGGATATTACTTACTGTCAAATCTAAAATAGTATTTGGAATCAAAATTACTACTCTTCATAAAAAGGGCACACTTAATAGACCAGTGGAGACTAGAGGAACCCCTGAGATTGTCACCCTGAGATACCCTTTAAACTTGGGACTGAAATTACTGCAGGAGTTCATCTTTCAGTTACATAACAAAATAGCTCATAAAATAAACAATATTACCCATGAGTACTGTACTCTAAAAAATCATCTATATGACACCAAATGGTTTTTAAAGCAAAGATGAGAAGGTAAGATAAGTTAGGGTAGGGAAGCTAAATTAATGGAGATGGAACAACCAGGATAGAAACAATGAGAATGGTAACACTGTGAAAAATGTAACCACTGTCACTGAACAGTATGTGTAGAAATTGTTAAATGTAAATTTTCACCAAAAATACAATAAAATACTGTTTTAAAAATCCAAGAACTGTTATCAATGTTTTTATGTACAGTAATGTCACCAGTAACAAAGAATATATTCCATATAAACTTTTGGTTGTGACAAGTTCATTATTAAAGATAGAACTTACATAGGTGAGCAGTTAACATGAGTTCTTAGTTGCTTCAGGGCTTCTTCCTTCAAGACCTTTCCAGATAATTTTTCCTACCAAAGTGTTAAGGAAGAATTATCTCATTTCCTCACTCAGGTCAACATTCCTTTTAGGAAATATATTTTTTTAATTCTTTGTTAACCTTTTGCTGTTGTTCTTAGGTGTTATCAAGTCATTTTTGACTCACAGCGACCCTGTGTACAACAGAACAAAACACTACACAATCCTACACCATCCTTATAATCATTGCTGTGTTTGTGCCTATTATTGCAGCCACTGTGTCAATCCATCTTGTTGAGGGTCTTCCTGTTTTTCGCTGATCCTCTATTTACCAAACATGATGTCCTTCTCTAGGGACTGGTCCCTCCTAATAATATGTCTAAGGTACATGATGCAAAGTCTCACCATCCCGGCTTCTAAGGAGCATTCTGGCTGTCCTTCCAAGACAGATTTGTTTGTTCTTCTGGCAGTCTGTGCTATATTACATAGTCTTCATTGGCATCATAATTCAAAGACATCAATAATTCTTTGGTCTTCCTTATTCATTGTCCAGCTTTCCCATGCATATGAGGCGATTGAAAAATACCACAGCTTGGGTCAGGCGTACATTAGTTCTCAAGGTGATATCTCCTTTTTTTTTTTTTAAAAAAAAAAAAAAAACACTTTTAAAAAGGTCTTTTGCAGCCAATTTGCCCAGTGCAGTACTTTGTTTGATTTCTTGACTGCTCCTTCCGTGGATGCTGATAGTGGATCCAAGTAAAATGAAATCCTGGACAACTTCAGTCTTTTCTCCATTTATCATGGTTTTGCTAATTGGTCTAGTTGTGAGGATTTTTGTTTTCTTTATGTTGAGTTGTAATCAATATGGAAGGCTATTATCTTTCATCTTCATCAGAAGTACTTCAATTCCTCTTCATTTTGAGCAACCAAGGTTGTGTCATCCGCGTATCACAGATTGTTAATGAGTCTTCTGACCTCCTCTAATCCCACAATAGGAAGACAGAATCACCATCAATAGCCCAAGGCCTATTACTGCAAGACCAGACATGCTGCCTCCCTCCAGCCCTTTCACCAACTGTTCCTCCCAAAGCACCACCACCTCTCTCCTGGGTTCGATAATTCACTGCAGTGGCCACACAGAACTCACAGATTATGGGGTTTATTAGGGAAGCACCAGGTTACAATTCAAGTTCAGGAAAAATGCTCAGTCTCCCTCCCAGCCCACCGTCTCTCAGCCAAGTTTCTCACAGTCTCTCCCCCAGCAGTGCATGTCCCTTGGTGTCTTACTCAGCAATGTGTGTTTCTTGCATCTCTTTCCCAGCAGCACGTGTCTCTGTCAGCAGCGCATGTCTCTTTCAGCAGCACGTCTTCCTCAACCAGCAGTCAGAGAGAGTTCTGCCTCTAGGAGGCCTCCTTTTGAGCCTGGCAGAGTGGTCAAACTAGCCAATCATAGCATCAGAACTCTAAGCACCCAAGAGAGAGTGGGAACCTCTCAGAACATTGTTTTGTGCCACTCCCAACAGAAATACTCCAGGTGGACAACTTCAGCAATCAGGAGCTCCTCAGTTGCTCATAGCAAATCCCACCTTGGAGTT